CCACGACTGCCCACGACTCCCACAACCTCCACGGTCTGTTCAACCCTGCCAGAAGATCCCCATCCGTCGCCCGTTCATCGCTCGTGAGTGTCCACGACTCCACTGCCCGTGTCAACCCCGGTCCAGGACCCGGCATCCAATCGGGTTCCCAAAGCACCCAAAAACCCGTGTCCCGACCGCTTCATTGGCCCAGCCGTCCTCCCGGGATGTTTCACGACCGCCTTTTTGTTTCTCGATTCAATGGCCCTCCCGTCGTCGTTGCTCTTTAGTTTCTCTTTCGGACTCTTCGTCTCTTCACCTCCTTCTAGCGAGCCTTGTCCTCCCCCCCCCTCGGCTCGGTAGCTTGTGTAGCTCCATTTTCCTAGCCTTGCCATGCATGATGGTTGCTCTTGGCCTTTTGGAACCATTGCAAGGAAGAGTGACTCACATCTTTGCTGTTCATCGACGGTGGATCTTCTTCCACTAGGAAAATCCGAAAAACGCATCAACGACATGGGGTTTTTTTGGAGGATCTTTTTGCTCTCCCAACGATTCTAGCAAGGGCATGTTGGCAAAACTTTGAGAACTTTTTACTACGACCCCGGCAGTTCGGGTCGGTGTACTTTGAAGCTCCACGAAGCCTGCCCGGGAAAATCGGGGAGGCTGGGGTCCAACAAGACCACACTCTGCATTATCTGCCATGGCATCACCAAATCGACGCCACTTCATTACCAACACCATGCGCATGCGGGACCTTGAATATTGTTGACCTTGTCAAGGTAGGTAGGTATCCTCATGTATCCATTGTCTATTTGTCCCCCCAGCTCTCAAGAGGAGGGGACCTTAAACCCCCTTCAAAGGAGACCCCGTCTATCCCAAGCCCACGCCGAGGACGCCAAAAGGGTATCCGTCAAATGAAACGAAAAAAAGGACAAGTGTCTCTCTACCTTGCTACACCAAAGGAGAATAAAAAAGGTACAGGTTTGAGAAGAGTAGGTAGTGTAAGAGAGGACCAGGAGGGAGAAAATGTTTCAACTTTTCAACGACAGGTTGTGTGTTTCCATGCAGGTGATGTGGTCTGCATCCCAGACTTGACACCCACCCACCCCTTCTTCGTCAGCTGCAGTCATCTGCTGCGACGGACGGACTGGACTGATCATCCGCCCCACGCCACAACCATCCAGTCACAGCCACCGCTGAGTCCCAGACGCGTCCAACTTCCGCATACAACGCGTCGGTCCTTGGTGTTGAAGGGCAAGGAAAGCGAAGTCCACACCATCCATCCTGGGTAGGCAGACGGCAGTCGACGTAGTCGCAGCATTGCCCCATACAAAAGGAAACCAGGGCTAGGCTCTCTAGTATCCCACACCATTCGCCACCACGTCGCCCATTCTCGTGCTCCCACTGCTGGCACCCTCACCTGCATCTCTCCCCATCCCCTCGTGCGTCGATTGACTCATACTCGACCGCCCTGAAACGTTTGCCAATGCCGCCTCGAGATCCGCCTTTCCTTCCCGCAGCCTCCGAAGTGTCCTCATCATCCCGTCCAGCCGGAGTCGCTCCTGGATCACCATGCCTTTGGCGAATTCCTTGATCGCTCGTCGCCCCATCTTCTCGTGCAGGTCTTGCCACCCGGCTAATTCCCCAGCCACTACTTGTTGCGAGTATCGAAGTTCTCGACCGAGGTCGTCCACCTGCTCTTGTGACTGGCGGGCTTTCTCTTCCCTCTCCTCGTTGAGACGTTGTCGCGTATCATCCAGCAAACCAAGAGGCCACCTTGTCGATCTCGTGAGCGAGTTGTAGTTCCGCTCCACGGCCTTACGCGCAGCTGATATCTGCGTGATTTGTGCAGGTGGCCTCGACAGAGCCGACAGCAGGGCTTGGATCGTCGATTGCGATGCCAGGAACGTTGAGTGGAAGATCCCGTAGGGATTCGACTGCATCGGTACAAGTGTACGGACATAAGACTCCATTGCCGTGATGTATGCAGGCGGAAGGAACGGCAACGTTGAAACAGCGCGGTGCAGAAGGACTGATGCGTCGTGGAGATCTGCTCTCGTTAGTTCAGACCATGGCCATCCTGTCACTGGGAACAAACGTACCTGAAGCAACGATGGCGATGGAATTGACCCTTCTTGCCACGCTCTTAGTCGAGTAATTGACACTCCGCACCATCTCCCTAGCATGATCGACAAATTGCTCGACCTCTCGCACATCTTTGACGGGCTCGTACTCTTCCCGCACTTTCTCGGCTCGCGTCTCGGCCTTCAGATTACTCCTTTGCTCCATCATACCAAGCTGGATATCAGGCACCAGGAAGAATTCCCAGAGCATCTCGTGCGTTGCGAAAGTCGGGTGATTAAGCATGATCTTGAGGAACCAGTCGGCCCGAGTCTGAATATCCCGTAGCACTGCTCTAGACGGCTTTGAGGGTATCTGAAAAGGCGACCGCACGCCTGCCACCGCCGGGATCCAGGAGGCCGGATTCTCCAGCGCGAGCAGGTTGCCGAGGTGCTCAAAATCAGACAGATTCCTGCGGCTCGTTGTGACAGTGTAGCTCATGTGGTCGGCGGGGGCGGCCGATTTCAAGACCAGCCGAATGGTCGCATCTTCAACAAAAAATGCTCTCACGACACCGGTGATACGGGCATCCGTACCAGGGGGCATGCTGAAGAGTGCCAAGTCATCAATCTTATTCCTGATGTCGTCATCTTTGGCCAATTCAACGGCCGTCAGGCTCCGGATTTCTCGGGCTGCGACATCGACGCGTGCATCCACATATAACGTTCTGACCATGTCTAGTCTGCCATATTTGCTGGCAACCATCAATGGTGTGAACTTCTTCTCGTTCGTGGCGTTGACATCGACATCGCATTGCTGGAGCACTCTGAGTGCCAGCTGCGGGTCATTGACAATGTGAAGCAGAGTGTTCCCCTTGGCGTCCACATGATCGTCAATGTGCAGCGGAAGCCCGTCGCGCTGCGCTTCCGTGGCCGCATCAAGGCCGGCATCCACCATTTCGCGGTAATGGACATGGTCATACGACCTGCAAAGTGCAAAAAGCGGCGTCTGCCCATTCTTGTCTTTTTGCCGCCAGGGGACTAATCTCCCGATCCGAGAAATTAGAAACGGTGCGTGGAACAGGTAATGCGCACAACTGCGCCCCCAAATGTCTTGCTGAGCAAAATACTCAGTGAGGCGCTCTCTTGCCGCCAGCCTCGAAATGAAGTCGAGAATAATGTTGATCAGCTCTGTATGTCCCAGCTGAACCGCAGCGCTAAACAGCGTCGTGTCTTCGTTGTTTATGTCGTCCAAAATGACAGAAAGAGGGTAGTACTCGCTCAACGTCAGCAAGTACCGCATAATGTCGGCCCTTTCGTTTTGCACAGCCATCATCAGGATTGACTCGCCGAAGGAGTTGTGTGTCTGCGACAATCGATCAATTGTGACATCACCCTCGAGCACACTTCCAATAGTTCCATTGCTGGTCGCCCTGGAGTGATATGAGATCTCCGAGCCGCTAGACATGCTTCGTGTGTCCATGGCAACTCTCTTGACCTTTCGAGGGGGCGGGGGCAGCGGGAAGTCAATCTCACTGCCGTCATCCTCAGACTGGAACGGGAAAACGTGGCTCAGGCCAGAGCCTGATGAGAAGCGATCCGAGATCGTAACCGCTGTTGATGACCTCCTCGAGGCAGACCCGTTGGTAAAGCTCCAGCTGTGAGAAGGGCGTCGACTTGATTCTGGTGAATCATAAAGGTCGTCATCGAGAACGGCGTTCTCGTCTGGTTCCATAATCTTCTTCAAATCGTCGAGGCTTCCATTGCTAGTGGCATTCCATAGCGCTTTGTTTCGTCGGCTGGCTCTCCGCAATCCAGCCGAGTCGAGTGCAAGGTAAGCGAGGACAGCTTCGAAAGTGCTCAGTGCATATCCCATCTCGCCGTTGTCGACGTCGTCGATGAAGATGAAGTGACGGATGTAGATGAGTCGAGCGTGCAAGTGCCGAACTTGCGCCCGTATGACCACGAAGAGCAACAATGAGACGAGTGTATCCGCATTGACTGTTAGCGTGGGCTTTTCGGTCGAAGAGGCTGCCTGCGCCCGTGAAGACTCCGTCAGATGCGTGACGAGCTTCATGGTCGATAGGAGTAGATCGAGCATCTCTTGTGGGCTCATGGCATTCGCTGTCTTCTTGAACTCCTCCACGGCCAGACCAAGCTGTATTGTCAACTCGTGCTTCCCTCGCGAGCCACCTTCTATAGAGATGCCGAGCTGTGACAGGTCGATGAATTCCATCTGCCGAATCTTGGCCTCCAACTCGAGGTCATACGGTCGTTTTGATGCACTAAGTCGCGGAAATAGGAGGTGATGCGTGTTCTCGGTGACGTATCTTTCGATGAGCCTTTCAACCAGAGGTCCCGTAAGATCGGTCGTAGCGCCGAGCATCGAGAGTTGCTGCTTGTCAACTCCCTGGAACAAGTCGATGGCGGCTGTCACCGCGGTTTCCAATGAAGCTCTCATCACATCTTCGTCGTCCTCGGCGTAAAAGTTTTCCGTCACGGGCAGGCCGTTAGTCAGCCCGTTGGGCCGCCTCGCTGCTGACATGCTGTTGGACCGCGCCTTCCTCATTGCCGTAGTGATAGGTCCGTCGGGCTCGGGGTCGGGTATGCGTAACGCCGAAGGGGGCGGCGGAAGCGGCCGCTCGAAGACGGTCGTAAATTCTCGAAACAGCTTTTCTAATCCGGGCTGCATTTGTCGCGCAATAATGGGGAAATGGTTGAGGAGATCGTGGAAGCTCTTGATATCCTTCTTTCGTGGAAGCATCGCACCTTCGCCATTCTCCGCAGCCGCCGCCTGGCTCTGTTCGAGAGCTCTCCTCCTCGCCATTCCCTCTACCAATATGGCAGGCTCGATCTTGGTCTCCTCCCATACCCCCACTAGTGGTCGCGAGATGTAGTAAATCAGCCATTGGCGGGGCTCGAGGAGGTCGGGATACCATGTCGAATCGTTAAGCAATTGCGCTTGCGCGAGCGACTTGAAGCCTGTGATATACTTGTCAGTCATTGTTGGCTCAGGATTGCATTTTCAGGCGCACCTTTGTTACTGTAGACGTGTGTATCTTTGATGACAACTGTGCGACCATTGATGGTCTGATACTGCTTCGCCTTGCCCCTCAGCTCCCGCAGGTTTTGCGCCGCATCCTTCCCGCCCGCAGCAGAGGCGGTATTTGCGGCGGGAATCCGAAGCACATGGCTAGCTAGAAACTCTTCCGAGGTGATGAGCTCATGGAAGGTCGAGCCGCTCTCGACTTCGCGACATGTGAGGAGAACATCGGTGGTCGGGACCAGGAGGATGTGGTGATGTACCGGGGTACACTGTGAGGGTAGGGAGCTTCGGAAGAAGGCAGCGAGGAATGGATTTAGGGGTTGCATTCATTCGACTGGCGCTGGACGTCCTCGGCCAGCTTGCCCGGCCGGGGAAGCCAGGATTGCAGGGGAAAGGTGAGTAGGTGGTTGAGGATCGCGGAATTCGGAAGCACGGAGATGCCGGGGGATCGACGGGCAAGAGGCGGAATGAAGGCTGGAAATAGGATCGCTGGGTATCGTTTAATGTCGCTGAGATGCAAGATGTTCGTCGGCGGTCATGGAAAAGACGCGAAACTGGTTTGCGGTCGGTGAGGCAGGTGGGAAATGGTTCGTGATGGAAAGGTAAGTTGGTAGTGGTGGTTGCGATTCCCCTGGACAGATAGCAGTGGAAGGTGTTGAAGCTCTGGTGTGGGCCAGGCAAGCCAGGCACTGACCTCACTCAGGCCGCACGTCCCACTCCCAATGGGCTGCCACGGCCAGGGGGCACCGTGGTCCGATTCAGCGCTGAAGACCGGGAGGTTCGCTGCCAGCCTGCCGTCCCCACACTGCCGAGGCGGGACGCTCTGATTTGCTGGGGAACAGACGGAAGCCCAACGGAATGCGGAGAAAAAGGATCTCCGAAGATACCACTGAAGCGGGCGCTCTCCCGGCCCAGGTACCTTAACCTTATCTTATCAGTCCCCACACGATGAGAAGCGAGCGTCTTCTCTAAGGTAGGTACGGGAACCTGGAGTTTCCAGACACCAGCCACATCTTCTCGGGCGGCGTCAAAGCCTCCACTTGATAACTTGTAGAGGAAAGAAGACATGCCTTTGTTGGAAGGCAGACCTTCCAATCAATGACGAAGACTCAACAAGGGTCACCTAAGCGATCCCCGCCGCAATAGCTCACTGGGCAGTTGTCGGCATGGTTGCCTATCGCGTACATGCATACGATGCAGGAGGCCGTCAATTTGGAGAATCGGGCTACGGAGGGGTTTGAGCTAACTTCAGATCGTAAATAAGACGTGTCACCACCATTCGAGCGCTCATAACTCTAGACTCAGTATGAAAGTCATCAGACAATTCCCCCCTTGTTCTTGGATGAGGTAAAGTTTTCGTTTGTGCTTTACCTCAAAACCGATACTCAGATGGTGTTGTTCGAGGATCTCCATCCGAATGACAATATCGTTTACAGCCTGTTACACCGACGACAACACATACCAGCCCTCAACACAAGACAATAGGCAGGAAGTCTTCAATATGGCGGACAACACTGACTCCCATACCCCTAAGCGCAACAGCAATGGCTGTGTGCGATTCACACCAGCCCCTTCACAGGGGGATGCTATATCAGCTCTAAAGAAAATCCCGCGATACCTCTTCAGAGTCCATACACCAAGCACGTCAGGTGAAACATCACTAGAATCTGTCGTGTCAAGAGCCGCTCTCTGTGGTCACTGTCGAGCTGACAACGACATCTTCTCGATGCCCCCCGGCGAAGCGGCCGAGATGCTCAACTGCCACCTCCGCGGGTGGGCCAGAGACGGAGACAACCTCATGTCTTGGACAAGCTCGTTGCTTTTCGCTCTTCAATATGCCCTGTATCGCAGCATCTTGCCCAAAGGTGGGCCATATAACGACCGGTTCGATATTTGGATCTATGTTTTGGACACAAGACTTCTCCCTGAGGGTTCATTCATCCCTGACGTTGCTCTCCTTGACGCATTTACTGGCGAAGATTCAGGACGTACATACAATCTATCTAACATGCGACGTTTGCGCCGAGAAACGTCCTACAACTTTGGCGAGTATCTGTGCCAAGGGAAGTTGTTGATTGAGGGTGCATCTTCTTCAGCCTCTCTTGGAAGCATCATCTATCACGGCCTTTTCAGGCTCTGTCCCGAGCTAGGGGTACCGAATAAGAATTTTGAACTGGCAAAAAGGGTGTGCAGGCTTCGCATTGAATGCTTCGCTTCCCCAACGCCGACGACCAAGGCCGACTTCCGTTTTGCCAGCACTATCGCGCAAGGATGTTTCGGAGAGGAAGACCAATGGGCACTTCCAATGACGGCTGCATTTCTTTCATTGCGAAAGCGACTGATTAATGATGTTGTCATAGTTGGTGGCTTCAAGGCCCTCTTCTCAGGTATGTTAATCAACGCATAGTCGCCCAGGGGGAGGGAACTGACGGGTCATTGTGATAGACCAGGAGATTTGTAAACATGACCTCGATACACTCAAGACCTATCAACTTGATACGCACCCGGAAACTCACCAATTCTCCAAGATCGCTCAAGATATTCACAGTGACTACTTAACGAGAGTTCTGGATTCCGTCCTCGCCACCGCCACCAAGTTATCGCGTGAGTATAGTGGTGCTTCATTTCAGCGTGGTTCAGTCTGGCTAACACATCCTAGTGGTATCTTTTTGACGCTCATATTCTCATCCGGTCTTCGGGGACCAAGTACCATGTACGTCGAATCGACCCAGAGTCAAGGGTTCTGGAAAAAGGATTTGCTTACCTTGGCCTTCCTGTTCACTTAGTGAGGCCCGGATAGCCATGGGGAAAATAGGTCATTGACGAGGACGGACAGATCCAATTAATTGGCTGGACCCGCCTCTGACTGGTATTCTAGCCTCTTTTGGTGGTAAATCCTATTCTGTTTGTATGATTCAATTAGAAGTAAATACTTCCAACCAGGTCTCAGTTAGATTGGTCGTCTTTGCGCGCAGGACGTAGTGGCCCCATGCAAAGAAATCCCGTTGCTTCTGTCCCCCGACATTCATTCAGACGCTACAGCCTCTCAGAACTGCTGAATACCTCTGTTGTCGTCGTCCACGTCACCTTCTTATCAGGCTTGCCCGACTTGCGCTCAATGTACGCCGCCTCAATGGCCTCTAGACTCTGGCTCTTCGTCTCCGTCATCCAAACCGCGCAGACGATAACGCTGACAAGCGTACATCCGCCGTAAAAGAAGTACGTCCCAGAAGACGAAACAGCAAGGAACGGCGGCGCAGTCAATGCAACAACAAAGTTAGTCAGCCAGTTGGCCGCCTGCCCCAGCGCTGCGCCGCTAGACCTCGTTTCGCGCGGGAGGCTCTCAACCAAAAAAGCCTTGATACAGATCGCCCAGGTTCCGTTGAAGACGACGGCGAAGACGTATATAGATGCAATCACCACCCACCGTCCAACGCCACCGTCGAGGCGCACCTGGTTGGCGGCGTACATTGACCCCATCAGGAACATGAGAATTGCGATGCCCGCCCCGCCGACGATGGTGCAGGTCCGACGACCCCAATTGTCTGTGAAGATGGCACCCAGGATGGTGACACCCATGATCACTAAAGCCAAGATCCCCGAAGCGAGGAATGTGGTCTCCTCTGAGAGACCTGATTGTTGGAACAGTAGGGGGGCGTAGTACAGGATCCCGTCAATGAAGCTGGTCTGCTGTGCGACCATCAAGAAGCAGCCAAAGGCGGTGCGGGAGCGGAAGGGCGTGGACAGAGCTTTCCGGAAGTCTTGGAGCGTCGCTCGGATGGTGTCCATCATGCTCATGTCTGATGGATGTACCGCCGCCGCCGCTGCTTCCTGGCCGCCCTTATGCGCCAGCATCTCCCGCTGTTCTTCCTCGCTAATACCAAGCTGAGTAAAGATTAGTCTAGCCTTGTCGATTTGCCCCTTGGCCATCAACCATCGAGGCGACTGAGGCACAAAAAGCGTCGTTGCAGCCAGACCGAAGCCCAAGATGGCTTCAACTGCCAGCGGCACCCTCCACGACGCCGAAGAATCCGCTATACGACGCGTGCCGTAGCAGATAAAGTATCCCATGGACAATCCCACCGTCAGCATAAACTGGGAAAAAGCAACCCAGAAGCCTCGCGTCTTGGCAGGTGTGATTTCGCAGATCTGCACGGCAACGGTGCTGACGAAGAGTCCCGTCCCGAGACCCTTCACGGCGCGGCCGGCGATGAACATTGCGAGGTGGACGGCGCCGCACTCGATAGCAGCCCCGAGACCGAAAACGACGGCGCCGGTTGAGATCATGGCGACCCGGCCGAGTTGGTCGGCTAGAATGCCTGCGAGGAGGGCGCTGATTGTGCCGGTGATGAGGAGGGTTGAGACGATTGCGCCGTGGACGATGGCAGAGAAGTTGCCGAAGGAGGTCTTGAAGGTCTCCATTGCCGTTATTGGGCCTATGCTGCCAGTATCAAGCCTATAAGGCAAACGTTAAGTAAATGAACTGGTTGAGATACAGGAGATCTTCCAGATAGACTTACCCCCAAAGCATCAGGCAGGCTCCTGTCGCTATAGACGCCCTGGCATACAGTGGCAGCATCTTGAAAAGTCGCATTGTGATCGAGGCTCAAGATCTAAAAACGATGGTGGATGAGATGAGATATCTGTAGCATGGAACGGAGAGCGAGCCGTAGCTGTCCTTGCTGAGAACACTCGAAAGGTTCTTATACTGACTTGGTGGCTGTATCTGTCGTGCTCATCTTGATATCATGCTATTCTCCTTTCGGGCATGAAGCCCACCGGGTTTGCCATCTGGACGAAAAATCTTAGATAGCCCGCAGGCGGACATGGTAATTGGGCTTTCACAAAGTCGTCCTCGTGGAAAGTCCGTTGTCCCACGTCGTGGGCTATGCAGTTCACTGACAATTGCTCGGCTGAGTTGCCATCATGCAAGTTCTGTCCGTTGAGGGTTCTAGACTTCGCTCGATGTTGGACTCGTGGAGTCTAGCTGTTCGTTGTCTGGGACCAATCGGCAAAATTTCCAGTCGAGGTGGGGAGAGTCGGTCCGTTCTGCGCCACCTGCAGTAAGTGTGAGACCCTTCTGGTGGTTGGAGTACGAAGGTAACTTTGCCGAGTGCCTAACTTTGACTTGGGAGATTACCGTACATACCCGACATCTTTCAAAAAGATAGATTGTCTGTCTGCTTCACATTAGTGGCGTAATCACAGCAGACTTGCTCTCGTGCGAATGTCGCCTTGTCGCTGTCAGACTGGAGGTATGTGTGATCTTTACCCTGCCCTGCGGTTAATACTTCAAGCGCTTCTTCTCTGAAGTGGCTCTAACTTGGTGGGCGAAGGGTACAATCTGCTGACGATAACGCTAATCACTAGAGCTGACGGAAAGTGGCAGCAATGAACACTGATCCTAATTAGTAGTCTGTCAGCCCACACAAATACACAAAAGGTAGCCCCTCCTTTTCATGTTCCACCGGGACCGTCCGCCGGAAATGTTTCCTCTCGTACTTGACGCTCTCGGATCTATGCCCTTTTGCTGTGTTGTCTCTTTGCCATTTCGCCTGAATCGCTGCTTGCCCTCCAGCGTACGACTGAAACGGGAGTTCTTAAACCAACGTTGAGTAAAGCCGGGCCGACATTTCTTCTCGGACCCTGCACGGACTGGGCTGTCGGCATCATGCGCTCGCATCATGGGTGGTGAGTTACTACCTTCAGTCGGAAATGAACATTTTCCTGACAAATGATACAAATAGCTTGACATGCCGACAGCGGAAACTGAAATGCAATGAGGCAAGGCCGGCCTGCGGGCCATGTACCAAGTCCAATCGCGAGTGCATCTTCTCACAAGACACCAAGTTTCGTTATTATGATCACGGCCTTCTTGATCGAGGACAGGAGAAGTCTGCTACTGGTTGTGATTTCATCGAGAATCTGTTCGAAGAAGACCAGGTTTGGCTCGGTGTTCCGCACAAACGTGTGTTGACGTATGTCTAGGATCTAGCAATGTTGCCGCTAACTACGTGTAACTGATTCAGTTATCTTCGTGAATATCAAGAACCCACTCGAGGCAAAAGACGACATTTTCGATGAAGGTTTTGCTTTGCAGCATGGCAGTCACAGTACTGGAGCAGAACCATTTGGTGGATGGGACAACACGCAGTCAACACCCAACACTCGCGATATGGACAGTGAGGTAGTTCCGGCTTACATATCGCAGATGCAAGGAACTTTTGAACTCTCTCAACAGTCAATTGGAGATCTGCGAGTGAGTAGTGGTGCGGAGAGTAGCAGATCCATCACTCCATCCATTCGAGACGATGCTCTCAACTTATTAGTTCTCAAGCCATTAACAGTTCATGCAAATGATGACGAAGATTTCGACGAGAATGACAACGACGATGACTCAGAGGCAAATGTAGTAGCTCTAAAGCTTCTGAGGCATTTTAGAGAAGGACCTGGGCAATGGTAAGGCCTTTTCTCTTCAAAAACCCCTACCCTGAAGCTGTACAGCCACCAGCTGAAATGTAGGCGATAGGATGGATCTCTTTGATACGTCTGCACATTTCTCATGCAAGATACCGATACGAGCAACCACTCGACCGCTTCTAAAATCAGCAATCTGCGCCCTCGCAGCAAAACACTTATCGCGCACACAGTTGAGCGACAGAGAAACCCGAGAGACCCGTAGCGTGAGAACTTCTGAGGCTTTCTCGGCTACGACAAACCCCGACTGGCAATACCACGCTGTCCGACACTACCACCGAGCCATCAAAGGTTTAAAACATGCCATTACTCTCGCTGGAGCAAGCGATGATGCGCGAGATAGAGAGGCTAGCGATCGAAACGAGGATGCCTTTGCTGCAGTTGCCATACTCTGTATGTATGAACTGATGAACGCCCCGGGGAACGCGTGGAAAGCGCACCTCACGGCTCTGTCTCTGTACTCTGCCCTGGACGGCACTATGAACGGATCTTCTCCGATCTCGATACCACGGTCCAAGACCAAGGGGCCGATATTTTGGAGCCTAGCGAGGCAAGACTTCCTGTGTGCTTGTAAGCATATCATGAAATCACTTACGGGGCCAAACGGCTGACTGATCCCCCGCCGAAAGTCATCAGCGAAACTCAAACGCGTCTTAATCTAGACCACATTCGTCTTTGGCAAAACTTTGGCCTCGCCGCGGACGAACACAATCTTTTACTTCCCTTTAGCCCTTTTTCGATGGCCGATATCCGCTCCTCAACCAACGTGGAAGAAGACTCGAAAAGCAACGAGCTCTTGTGGCTCATGGGCAAGATAGTGAACTACACCACCCACGGTGACGGCGTCCATCCGGAAGACTACTCTAGACCTACGGGCCAGCGCTTGTCGCTCGGCTTGACGCAGGAACTCCTCCTTCAACGGTGGACGAAGCTTGAAGTCGAATTACAGGAGTGGTACGAGAGCCTACCGCCGACCTTCGCGCCCAGCGGCCGGACAAGGCTTTCAAGTCGTCTTCGGAACTTGGGTAAGAGTGACGCGGATATGGGCATGGAGAGGGTCTGGTACGACATCCCCATGTGCGCGTCGACGATGCAAAGCTACCATATGGCTCGGGTTATTTTGCTGGTGAACCGACCCCAAGAATCTACGGCCATACGATCGAATGTGTCGGCGCGTCTGCGATCGTATCGGTTCATCCAAAAAGAGGTTCTGCGCCATTGTAAGGAGATTTGCGGCATCAGTCTCGCGGATCCAACTGACGCGGTGCGTGTTCACTCTGTCCAGCCGCTTTTCGTGGCAGGGCGAGCATTTTATACGCAGCCAGAGCAGGAACTGGTTCTGGAGCTGCTCTCTGGTATAGAGACGGAGCTAGGATGGGCTACAAATCATCAGAGGCGGAAGTTAATTGACGAGTGGAAGGTGAATGATGAATGACTTTAGATCGATAATTACAGACCCTAATGGAATTAGAAAGATGCCACTGTTTCCCCGATTTGCCTGAATGACCCGAGAAGCACCATATCCAACGTCCCAACTAAATTACATGGACAACTTGTTTTCGCAAGGTGGATGGCATACTGATCGACAGCCAAGATTTCAGGACGTGAGCATGGCTTGGCACTGGTCTAATTAGACAAGCATCCGATATATGCTGCCTCATAAGCGGATTTCCATGTTCAGATAATCCACCAAGGAGGGATGAGAATTAGACATCCGTGATTCCATTACTGGGGAAATTCACAAGTTGACTGAATGGTGTGGTTTAGCCACGAATCAATTGCTGCTCTATCGTGGCCTCATACATACCTCCGTGGGTTCCACGGAGTCTGACATGGCAGTATGCTAGATTTCAATGTTCTGCAGTGGCTTGCTAAGCCCGACTTCTTCAATTTAACAACTTCTCAAAAAGTTGTAACAAGCCTGGGTCTCACTGGGCGGAGTGCCGACAGAAATCTTGGGTGTTAGAGTCCACTTGGCATCTACATGTATAAGTATCACAAGGAAAGTCCTGCATGCGAGGTAAACGAGCTTCCCTCGATCAAACTTGACCTGCATATCCCATGAACTATTTTTCATAATGTTCATCTTTCAGATCATGTCAGCGGCAGTTCTTGCCAGCCTTGTCGCCGGCCAGACACTCAACATCCCTAGCCGGAGCGGCTCCATCATATCGCTAACGGCACCTAGTGTTATATCCGGATCCAGGGATTTCGGCAATAAGGAGTACGATCGCGGAAGATCATGTAATACCGACGTTGAGACCTCCGGCGGACATCCCGTCTTCGTACTTGAAAACGGCGCCGCCATCAGCAACGTCATTATTGGTGCCGGCCAGGTCGAAGGGATTCACTTCAAAGGTGCGTGCATGCACGCTGAAGAATGTTTGGTTCCGCCAGGCTTGTGAAGGTAAGATGCTTTCTCCATAAATTGGACTGTGACAACGGGGGAGTGATTTCCAAGTTTCGAGGGAATTTAGGCTTAATCCGTTATGATATCATAGATGCATTGTTCTCAACGGTAATGGTGATATTCTCGTCGAGGGAGGTGGCGTCCGTGGCGGTGCCGGCAACCGGATCTCGCACTTGGGCCGAGGAACAGCCACAGTCAAAGACTTCACTGCCGCCAACGTCAATCGGCTTTACCGCTCATGCACCAACCCTGCAAACAATGGTGGCCCGATAAATCTGGCTGTGACCAACTTAAAGGCCAATAATGTCAAATTGCTCACCGGCATCAACTCGAACTTTGGAGACATTGCCACAGTATGTGGCTCCTGCGGTGCCAGCATCACCGAGGTCTGCCAGGAGTATAAGGGGGTCGAGAAGGGCCAGGAGAGTCCCAAGGCCGCCACGACTACACACTACAAGGGTCAAACGATCCTAGATGTATGCTAGGGAGAATTTTAACTTACCGATAGTCATGGATGCGAAATCCATCTAGACGGATGTGGAATCTGCGCCGGATAGCTGATGTCTCATTTGCCTTCGTACGGCCAAGATTCCTCATAAGTGATCTTAGTATCTAAAGTCAGTATTCAGCTCTCTGTAAGGAATCTGACTCGCCTGAGCGGATAGGGCCGTTGGCTATGACTTGAATCTAGGGACCGGCTTTCGTCACACATGGAAGATGCTTGGCATAGCTGCTTGGAACTTTTCCATCTCCATTTACGAGTTGCTTGAGATCTTTCACAATCTCGAATCCAAACGACCCGGAACATTGTCATGTAGCCGATACGAGCCATTGGGCAAGGCCTTGCAGCACGATCGCAGCCCCTGGTGTAGAAGGCGGTTCTCCGCGGTATGGATTCCAGAGTGAACTGATTACTTTTAGTCCGTACAGCTACAGTGCAGTTGCTGTGCTGTAGTATGACGGATGTTGGGGCTGGTATCGTTCGCGGGGAAATGCGGAGAAGCCGACGTAGATTCGAGGATCTCAATTCTTCCGCCGTACTCAGAATGTAGACCTGCGCGATTCGGATAGATCTACGACGAGCCGAGATTCAAGTCTGTCGATCTGAGAGAATTGCCAAACGGCTGCGGAACGAAAAGTCGCGCATACAAGAGTCACTTGTCTTGCACTTTTCCCAGTCTTGGGGCTTACCAACTTCTAGACTTAGTTCAGTCAGATTGGCAGTGTAATCAACAAAAGGTGCAACTTTACTGAAACATGCAAGCTCTTTCAGGCCTGCTTTTATTTGGCTACTCCTTTGGTCTCGTGGTCGGAGCTTATGGATGCCAAACAGATGATGACTGTAGTCTGAACGGCATTTGCGGACAAGACTCAGCCTGTATCTGTGACAAAGGGTGGCGTTCCGGCGACTGCAGCGAGCTGGATTTGCAGCCAGTTGAGCGTTGGACGGGGTACAACCACACGAACGCAACAGGATCAGGTTTCTACAAGGAGGGCGCCGGAAACTCTTCCTGGGGAGGCCACATCATCCAAGACCGCGCAGACAAGGGCCTCTTTCATCTCATTACGTCGCAAATGTCACACGGCTGTGGCCTCTCTGGCTGGCGGCCTTTCAGCACCATCATCAGAGCCGAGTCTCACACGGGGCCAAGAGGCCCGTACAACTACGCTCAAACATTGTTCAGCACTTTCCACCACAACCCGACAACTATTTGGAGCCAAGCCGATGAGAAGTTCTTGATTTACTTCATTGGCAAGGATGTCGAGGTCGGTGACGTCTGCAAGTCCCAGAAATGGAACAATACGATATCAGTTTCCTCGTCGCCGGATCTCAGAGAATGGACGACGCCCATTCCGCAAGTTATCAATGTCACGAATCCTGCACCGTGGCCGCTATGGACAGATCAGAATCCCACCCATGAAATTTTACTCGCCGTGGAGAAGAACAATATCTACCACGCAGACAACTTCTCTGCACCCCACGAACTTGTCGTCGAACCGCGAAACACGGAACGCAGTGAGGATCCATTCCTTTGGAGAGATAAACGAGGCCACTGGCATATTCTGGTCCACCACATGATCGATATTGCGGAAGGGAGAAAAGGGCCACGTGTTGGAGCGCATGCTTATGCTCGCAATTGGGAGGGCCCTTGGGCTTACAACAACAATACCCTGACTTACAACACGACTGTTGAGTTTACCGATGGTGTCAAGTTAGACTACTATCGCCGGGAGAGACCAAAGTTGTACTTCAGCGATGATGGGCAGATGACCCCGCTTTACCTGCTCAATGGAGTGCAGGAGTTCAATAAGTCGGGAAGCTATACCTTGATTCAACCGATTGGCAAAGAAGCAGAGGCTTTTGAAAGGAGTCTTGGGATAGATTGATATCGCGTGGTGCTTCTGCTTGATATTTACCCTACATGTAGTATTACTTGTTGCTAGCTGGAATTACTGCAGGAGATCTATTTCATCAAACTGCTTGAGAAGCAGAGTCGTCGAAGCCCCGGGAAATTGCTTGCTGTCAGGAAGGTCGCCACATCAAGGAGTCACATAGGTATTTCTCAAAGACCCATCACTTTGTGGCTCGGAAAACAGGGCGGTGCGTCAATGCTTCGATAGCATGACTAGCGACAAAGATAGACACCTTTAACCTTCTGGAGAACCACGCGAGAACCACGATGGTCAGGCGGACGGAGCCTTCTTGGCACGGACAACTCGGATCTCCTTGTGCTCCCAATGAAGGAAGCCACGGGATACTTGGCAGCCGCCCGGTAACAGATTAAGAGTTGTGGACCGAATTTGGCCGAAAGCGTGGCGAAGGCTGGGTTTTCAATCATGGACACGGGGAAGAGTGCAACCTTGTACTGACTCGGACAAATCCGACGGGCCCACCCAGAAAGCCGCAGCTAAATGAAGGTTCTCAGTCCGTCAGCCTGGGCGTCGCTAATTCTAGACATTGAACAGCTTCAACTGACATGTCAAGGTTCGGGTATAGAGCATGGTGTGGCAAGCAATAAGCCCTGCGGGAATCGCAGGTAATCAGCCTCGGTTCCGGTTTGGCGACTTTGGAAGTCAGATCACCTCAACCTCATTTGACTGATGCCAAAAGGTAGCATTGGCTGATCTCTCGATAGCACCAGTGGTTCGTCTCATTTGTCATGACCCCTGCGTTTTGTAGTCTTCGGACCCGATCAGGTATCCGAACGCCGCGTGCTTGCTGCGGACCTGCAGTGAGGATTAACTCATGCGATTCTTCAATCCACTGGGATTTGGATCTGGTCTAGCCCAATTTTGACCCTTTTTAAGGTCGAGCCAGTTTGAAAAGCCGCTCGTTTCCCTGTCCTTGTTGGTGTTTCTGCCATCTTACTCCCATTAACTTCATTTCACTAGACATCCTAGACGGCAAACAGGGAAGCAGGTCTTCATTCTCATCGCTCTTTCACACTATTCATTCGTTACTGGTATGTTGGTATGCTCGAGAGGTTTAGGTACTTTGACTAACAATGATCTACAGTTATTCATTCCACTATGCGTTCCACGATCCTCCTTCCTTTCCTCAGCCTCGTGAGCAGTGCTTTTGCCGCTCCCGTTGCAACTGTTCTGGATCTTCGCGGAGAAGTTGGTCACGACGCTCTCAGCCCTCTCACACAGAAAGTTCAGGACAATGCTGTCGGTAAAGCCATCGCACGATTCAACCCGCTCCTTCACATCGCTCATGGTTGCCAACCATACACGGCTGTTGATGATGCCGGAGACACGAGGTTTGTGGCCAACAAATGCTTCAAATTGATATTTGTCTAATGATTAAACTAGTGGTGGCCTGAAGCCAAGCGGCAGCTCCAGCGGAGGCTGTAAAGACACTAGCAAGGGCCAGACTTACGCCAGAGGCACGTGGCACAACGACAAGTATGCCATCCTGTACGCATGGTACTTCCCTAAAGACATGCCAAACGACGGTGTGTCCACTGGCTCGCATAGACATGACTGGGAGAGTGTGGTGGTCTGGCTCAACAACCCCTCCGTTGCGGACCCGATGATCCTGGGTGCAGCGGCTTCGGGCCATGGCGACTACAAGAAGTCAACGGACCCGCAACGCGAGGGTGAAAGCGTGAAGGTGGAGTACTTCACGCAACTGTTGCTGAACCATGAGCTTCAATTCACTGCTACTGTCGGCAAGACATACCCAGTCCTTGATTGGGACGCTATGTCGACGAACATGCAAACTGCTCTTAACAACACCGACTTTGGCAGTGCCAACGTGCCTTTCAAGGATGAGAACTTTACCGAGAATCTCGATAAGGCTTCTATCTAGGAGGTATTATCAACTTCAGTCAAGCTGACAACTTGAACAATGGTTGAATGCCCGATTCTTGTGTCTATATTCACTCTCATGATGTAAATAGTTCGCTCGGTATAGAAAGAAAACGAGACAAGACTAGCAAGCACCTTATTCTTACTCCTCAACTTCAAAGACCGTTTTGAAAAATATTTTGATTGTAAACACTCTGGCAATGCGTGACTGCCTAAGCAGCCGATCCGCTGTGGCTAAACTAAAGCTTGGATAAGCCATCGAGGCATCTCAAAGGTTCCGAGGACCATCAACGGCGGCCGCAGCGATAGTTACATCAACTGGGCTGGCGATTACTTTCGTGTCTTCGACAGCAGAGTCTTCTGCCTCTAGTTTCGTATTGTCGACTGGTCGCTCTGGCACAAGCAAAACAGCCCACGACGTCGCAGGGACGCAGACGACAAACATGACGAACGCAACGACGAGGTTCACCATCGGAGAAACCTTAACGGCACCAATGCCGAAGGCCAAGCATGAGCCAATGGATTCGAAGGACCGAACGAGACCAACGCCGAGGGTCAGAGTCTCGATGTCGTCAAAGAAGGTGCCCATAATCCAGTAAACAAACATGTAGTGCGACTCGTTCATGAAGCTGGTAGTTGTTAGTACTGAAATTGTCAATTTGAAAACGGAATAATAAGCGGTGCACTTACCGAAAGAGCACGTTGACAGCAAAACCGCGTCCGAATCCAGGAGTGCTCCAGTCGAGGGTAACTTTGGGAACAGTGTCCTCGTAGAGTTTCTCGTTGGCCACCTGCCATGCGAACAGGCCAAGCATGGTGACGGAAAAGCAGGACCAAGTAATCTTGGCGAGCTGAGGTCGGCTGAAGCACTTCAGGTCATAGAACCAGCCCCAGAAGATGTTGGCAGCAGATGCCGCAATACCAGACGTCAAGGCACCGAGGGTTCTCGCCCTCACCGAGAAATACTTAGTCAGGTAAATACCCTGGTAGGTGCTGTTCCAGTTGAAGCCGACAAGGATGGGAATCAGAAGGTAGAACTGCTTCTTCTTGAGCAATTTGAGCCACTTGCGGAACTCTCCCAAAACAGCCTTGTTCTTGGTAGGGTCAGCGATCTTCCGGCCGTCGCTGTGGATGACCTTCTGCGGGGGCGATACGAGCAACGCCAAAGGAAGACCAAGGCACTGCAGGGCGATTAAGACCAGGTAGGTCGAATATCCAACCTTTCCACGCTGGTTCTCCTTGACGTTCAGGGAGAGCTGGATTGCGGCGCCGAGAAGCTGTCCAAGCTCACGCAGACCGAGCCAGATACCGGTGAACTTTCCTCTGTCCTTGATGTCGGCGTACCCCAAAGCGATAGCGCCTTCAGCTGCCCACAGAGCGGAGGCAGCTACACCGCAAGTCGCACCGCCGAATAGCACGAACCATTCTACGCCGTAGCGGTTGTTGACGTACATCGATGCCGAGTACGGTGCGTAGCCGAGGGTACCGATGATCAGAACCGTCTTCAGACCGATCTTGTTGGCCATGATGGCGAAGAAACTGCAGCCAAAGACCATGATGCCGAAAGTGAGGGAGTTGGAGCCATTGACGAGGTAAGGCTCTTGCTGGCCACCAGCACCGGTGCCTTGAAAGTTCCATTAGTCTTTGTTTTCATAGTCAAATATTGTAGAGTTATTGCATACTGTTAAGAGCATTCCAGATACCAGGCTGAGTGAAGGAAATCAAGCCCACAATGATGACATTGAACAAGGGCGATCTATACCAGCGCGTGAAACGTGATACAGGCTTCGTAGGCTGGACATCCTGGACCTCCTCATCAATCTCCTGCGGTTGCTTTGCGTGATCGATGGACGACATTGCAGTTGAGCTGAGGTTGCTTCTTCGATCCCGACGCAGCGGATAGAGGTCATGCAAGTGCGGGAGGGAAATGGGGTCCGTTCGATGTCGAGCTTTTAAGAGATTGCCATTCTCTCTGGCGTCCGCATTGCTCTACCCATGTCTGTCCTGCGGGATATTCATTTCTTCCTCTAACAATGAGCATCTGCTCCAAGCGGCCAACGTCCGCGATGTAGCACCAGTCTGAATTTTTTCTTTGTGTCTAATCCGTGACCCCCCACCCCGGTTTCTGGACTCTGCAGCTCGTCAGATACCGGGTCCAGTTCAGATTGGTTGAGACCTGCCGCCAATGGGCTCTAATAAGCTTACTTCGAGTGGCGTTATTGTAAATCGTAATGAGACAATTCTGGGCGGCGCTCATAGTAGGACGACCTATCCCTGATGCAGGCCGCTGGCGCGGGCGCGGTTCGTCGGCGCACTTGCGAGAAAAAAACGTGGATTGGACCCTTTGATCATGGATGGGGTCGGTATTGTGTCCGACATCGCGTCGTGCTTACATGGGTGCGATGGCGACATCTAGAAGCGGATTCTGGAACCCCACTAATCGCCATCCGCCGGGATGAGGGCGGAAGACGACTCAGCAGAAAGGAACAAGACGTTGAGATGATAAACAAAGAAGATCTTTTAGATGTGAATTGCATGAGCGAACAGCTTATTTCAACGTCGTATCTGTATAAAATTTTGCTGTTTGCGAGCCGCTATGTCACTAGAACAGCTATAAACGTCGAGAAGTTCCGACTGCCATTGCTCGGCCCCGCTATGAGAAGTCCGGCCCCGTGTCTGAGGACCACCGAGTTTCTCTCCGCTTCGGTGCATCACACTTAGACATCCATATCAAGCATGCTTTGACCGGTCCGAGAGACTGTTTCGGCAGCCACGGCGCGTTCCTGATTGGAACAGCATAAATCCCGGCCGGTGTACTACTTGCTGGAATTGGCCAAGAACACCGCCGATAGGGGGTTCCCTGCCCGTGAATGAACGTATGGCTGTGGTCTGACATCTTGCAATAGTGAAGGTAGACTGACTGCCAAGATGGATGTACCAGGCACACGGTAACTGCGCTGTCGATGAGCGAAATGTCTAGAATTTTGATCCCTAGGCAGTGCTTGAAAGATGGTCACAGCACCCTAGGTCTAATGACCCCTGTCTTTCTGAGCCTCGCGCCGCGACGCAGACTAACATGTGCCGAGCTTTAGGAGGACTGAACCATGTCGTAAGTATACTATGAGACCAGTCAAAGACTAAAGCACTCGGCAACATCTACGCAGGGCGCACTAGCTTGTATGCACGGGATATTGGACAATTATTTGAGCTCGTTGACGAGAATGGCAGTTATTATATTATAAAAAGATTAGTTATGGAAGTTTAAATCAGACCACCCTGTTCGCAAGTGACAAGAATATAGAAGAATAGGTCAGGTAGCTAATCAGGTGCCAGGCGCCTTGCAAAGGATGGCCAAACCAGCCTGTTACTCGGAGATTAGCCGCGGCATATGGTCAAGATTATGTCTGGGAGACTTACAACGGTGAGAGTGCAGCATCGCGCAAGACGGTTTCCATCAAGCAGACAGGCAGCTTGAAATCCAAGAGTGGTGACCGGAGTCGTCACGGCTGTGCTCACTGGTCAGCTTGAATGGACTTATACTGGGCTCGTGTGAACCAAGGATCGGCCTGGAGAACTTACGTGCCACGCAGTTTGAGGACAGTACTCCGCCGACGACATCACTCGAGCAGCATAGTGGAGTAGTTCCCTGGCAAACTGGTGCAAGAATGGAGAGCCTTTCAACAAGAGGGGAATCGACGGGCGTAGTCGGAGCAGCAATGGCGAGAGACGAGAAGAGCCCGAAGGAAACAATTGCAGCCTTCATCTTGAGAAGTGGGTTTTTTACTTGTGTGAAAGACTAAGGCTCTTGAAGAGTGAAGACTGGAGATGAAGCTATTGAGTTGACCAAGTGTGATGGGATGATATTAAGAATCTTTCTATCTACATGTGGGAAGAGAAAAGGCTTCTTATAGATTTACACGATGCCACATATCCTTACAGGGACAACTGCCGAATGATATCAAGTGTTCAGTGCAAAACACCACCTGCGATTTCTCGTCACCTCTAACAAGGGAAGGGGTACGCTTTCGTCTCCGCCAAGGGCTCTCGGTATTCGGAGTGCCAAATACACGGGCGCCTCATACCGCATATTGTGATAGTGGACCAGCTGATCAATGCGGGGAGTCGCCGGTTGGGGAATGCCTTGCCTTTGTACCCCGTTGGCGGGCCGCATCCGGGAGGCTGAACGATGTCTTGGTCCCACCAACGTCATCCCAACGGCTCTGGACTCGCAGCCAGCTCCCTGGACGTGGGTCTAAAATCCTAGATCCTATGTCATCCGAATAAAGTTGTTTCTGCGTATGAAACTCGTCAAATTCCTTTCGATAATTGACTCACGAAATGGCAAAAGTTATATGATTCATGGCACAGGAGAATGGGATTCTGTGCAAGACCAGAGGTTTGCACAACTACTCGTGGCGGAGAAGGTGTGCGTGCCACTCCCGAGGAATGGATATGGGTACGGCTTGACTTCAAAGCATCATTCTCGGATGGCGTACGGTACCACTCTCTTTGGACCCTTCTGTTTATCCCAGTGGCTTTTTCGCCAACCGGTTCTGCACATCCGGAGTTCGACTACTTTATCCGGGAGGTGGCTTGAGCTTCTTGCGATCGGGAATACTCCACCCACTTGTCTCGGCGTTTTTACCAGTAGCAGTAGTTCAGCATGCATCCAAGTAACGGCCGCAATTGCCTGTGGAGTTGTCCATCTTAGAGGAAGACCAAAAGACTCTACGCTTATTCACACATGACTTCAGTGATAGAGATACTGATGGTGTTGCCGGAGGTTTGATGTGACAAGACTATCTGTTGACCAACAAAAGTCAAAGTGGGCTATCTCCAGGATAGGAAAACTCTTCTCCATTTCTCATGTGCAGTGGGCACCGCTCCTGAACCTCCTTTTGTCGGCCGGTCGATAACTAATTTGAAGAGTATGACGCAGTGTTCATGAAGCTATCCACCTCGACGCTTGCAGCTTGTCGGACCAAGTCCTAGAACATCAGGTCGAACCAGCTGTTCAGGAAATTCGAACACTAGCCTTGTCACGTGTTGTAGGTGTCTCAGTTGACCAAGGTGAGTCAAAGACAACCTTGTTTGGATAACCCAGGAACCCTCATTTTCAGTCCCTTTTATTCCTTGACTCGCCAGTATTGAGCAGTATGTCCTCATGTTCTATCCTGTCTGTGGAGAGTTGTTTTACAAGCGTGATATATACCTATGTACAAGCCTAAATTCAAAGCTGTGACTTTGTGCTCAAGAGAATCAATAGTCCGACTGTACTCTCGGTCGTCTGGTATTCTGATATGATGAATCCAGCCTTGGCTACCTTACACATGGTTTCATAACGTAAAACTTGAACAAACGAGACACAATGATGAAGCAGAAGGCCTGCGGCATGGATGCTGAGGCAGCCGCCTTTCACCCGTCATTTATACCTCATCCTCCAACGCCGGTTCCCTCCACGAAGCATCACTCTCATGACGCTCCCACAGTCACAAGAGTAGTCAGGGACAGCACAGGACAAAAGCAGCATGTGAAAGGCGCTGTAGAACGCCTTCGGGCTCCTTGGACCAGATAGGCTACCCAAAAATCCATGAACCCGTACTGGCAGCCTCGAGATAACGCCGGGATCGCCAAACGCAAGAAGAGCGACCCGAAACGAAACAAAAAATGGTACATTTCTGCTTTAAAGCATGTTGATACTATTTCCAATCACCTTATTGAACCTATTAAATGGCCGATGGCTTCGGCTGTCAATGATTTATCTGTGGTGTGCTCGTACAATTGGTCTGGCGCCTATGAGCCAACGACTTTTGTGCCTGGTGAGCAGCAATCCTGAGTCTCCGTGTCATGTTGAGTCCAACGACATTTCCAGCTAATGATGCACACAAAGTAGACGCAACTGGAACCCTTGAATAGACTGGCCTATCTTCTAAGTTCTCGGGTCATTATGTGAGAGGGTTAAGACAGTGAGCGCAGAGGGTAAGCGAGCTCTTGCCATTTATAATACGATGTGGGATAAGACCGCGTTGGAGATCTGGACCACATCGACGAGGCAAGCACCTACCCGCAGGAGCTCGAGAGGATGTTCTAGACCCCCGAATACGATTTGTCAGTGAGGAAATACCCGACCCAATCCACAGCGAGACCTATCCACGATCTGGACAGGGGGAGAAGCCCTGGCAGCAACGAAAGAACAATTAGGAGGTGTGTTTTCCAGTTTGAACATGAGATATAAGAAGGACTAGAAGATGGGTACAAGGTGGTTTTGCGATTTCTTCCTCTTTTGACTGCTGCATATTAAACGCTCTATACTTGAGTAGAAAGTGCCGGCCGAGGTCGTTTTAGCGAGCTTTGAGAGACACCTGCAATTTTATTTCTTATATATAGGCTACTCAGATACAGTGAAGACATTTCACAGACGATTACATGCAGACCACATCGTAGGCATGGGCAGCCTCCACATGATCTAATACCAGCCCTGCAGCCCAATAGTGAACCGATTCTCATCTTTCTCAACACTCTCCTTCAGTGCCATCAGTTCCTCGACATCCCAGTTCGCGTGAACAAACCGTCCATGCAGGAACTTGGCCTCCTCGCTGAGAGCCCACACGACAAAGTCCCCAGGAAGCGCAATATCATCATAAATCAGCCCCAACTTCTCCACAGTCGGCGCAAACTTCTCCGACATGACCGTGCCGCCAATGAGACCAGGGTGCACCTGCAAGACGAAGAAGCCGGGGTTTTCGTCGCGGAAGTACTCAAACAATTTGGTCGCACCACTCTTGGAGGCGCGGTAAGAAGAGTAGCCAAACATGTAGGGGAGATGGATCGCGGCGGTGGAGATGTGAATCACGGCGGCGTTTGGGGCTGCGACAGGCTGGAACGCGCGGAGGAGGTTGAAGTTGCCGCGGATAGAAATCTCGAAGGCGCGCCACCAGTCATAGGGGTCTGAGTCAGTGATTGTCTTGAGGTCGGACATGTAGGCTGCATTGGCGACGAGGATGTCAATCTTCCCTCCGTCAACCGAGCTGGCGAAGGAGGCGACGGCATCGGTGATTGCCTGTGCGTCTGTGACGTCGACGGTGTAGAGCAACACCTTTGCCTCTGTGTTCAAGGCTTCGATGGCGGCTTTGGTCTCTTCAAGGGATTTGATCGTTCGTCCGAGGAGCCCGAGACTTGCGATTCCGGACTTTGCGAGAGATTTGGCGATGGAGGCGCCGATGCCCGCGCCGCCGCCTGAGATGAATGCACTCTTGCCCTTGGTCGAGAGTTCTGGACGGGACGGTGAAATGGCGGCATACGGTTGCATACGGTAGGTCTTGGTGGGAGCAGGGAACGACATGGCTCTAGATACTTCGAGTCTTAAATTGGCTTATTGAATGCTTGGAGTGGAGATGGGTTTCGGAGGTGACGGAGAAAAAGTCAATATCCAAACCATGCTTCCGTTCCTTTACTTATGTATAGAATGACTGAAGCGATGATATTGATACGCATGCTAAACATGTTGTAGATGTCCCCTAACTGTTCGGAAGCATTCTTGTCGCTTGCCCAGTCCCTTACCTGACTTCCTCAGTTGGTTAACATTGAGCACCGCTTTACTATGTCAGCCAATGTTGTGAATATCTGTCATGCGTCCGGATGAAGGATTGCAAATTCTAGACGATCCTTAGACCGTCAACGTTTAACAGTCGGACTCGGAGGAAAGTTGCCAAGTCCCACATTATTGGCGCTAGGCCGGGCGCTGCGCCGAGTCGGGCGGATAACGTTATGGACCGGCGACCGGAGTGGGCCCCACGCTTTTTGCTGACATGACACACTTTCTCCTCGTCCTCGCTGATTAATCCTCATCTGACATCAACAAAGGCACAATAACCCATGTCATGGTCATCCGTCCATAACGTTGACTCGGTCCATATCAGGTCCGTATAATTGCTTCATCGTCTGATCTCTATAACGTGATTCTCCTGAGATAACGGAATGAGTCCAGCCGACGCCGAGGTAACGCGGGCTCACCCAGACTGCGCGGACAAGATTCGCTAACGCGTTCTAGTCCCGGCGTCGTGAGCGCGGTGTCATTGCCCAGCGCGAATACCGCAAGCGACACGCTTCCAAGGTCCAGAAGCTCGAGGAAGAGAATAGGGAACTCAAGAACGCCATAGCCGAGATCAGCAGGACCCTCAAGGGGCGGACCCTGTCAGATGATCTAAAAGCTGCTCTTTCCCATGCACGAGACCTCGCCGACATTACTGAAGATGATACTAAGGAGGTTTCCGACAACAATAACGTAGAAGAAACATCACCATCACAATCACCGCCCCCGACCGTGTCAGAAGACCCATCAGCATCATCAGAAAGACGCCTCCGTCCCAGTGGCCGAGCAAGTCCCCGCCTAGACTACGGCCTTTGGGTAGACACAGACCGCCTCATCCGCATCCTCGAACCACCCCTCGACATAGTCCCCTACCTCGGCCCGGGTATGCACACCCTCGCCGGTTGTATCTTCTGGTCCACAATGAACTACACCGTCGACCTGTGGGATGCCCGCCCCTCGCCGCCCGCAATTAAAGCCATAGACCGCATGTTCAGCCACTCAAAGCACCTCAGCGATCGCAATTATCTGCTCTCGCTCGCCCAGGCGAGGATGGACTACAAGAACAAGGGGTACATGTTCCGTAAGCTCTCGGATCAATTTGCTGCACGGGCCTGCGCAGAGACTTTTGAGCTTGTCAGGGATGAATGTGAGAAGAAGGGGAGGCCGAGCAGGTACTGGAAGACGCCGCAGGAGATTGCAGGGAATATTTTCAACGAGATCACTACTGATCAGGCTGTGAGGATGCAGGCTGTTGCGGAGGGCAGGGGAACGCTCTCTGATGGGCAGATGATGCAGGCGCTTGTCTCGTGGCTCTCTCAGAACTTTATTTGCTTCGGTGACGGACCTAGATGGAGTACTGTCTTTGTCTCTGTCGGCATCGGAAGTTGGGTCAGGGAGCTCATGGACAGGGACGCTCGCGCAGAGAAGGAGTCCACACCCGGGGCGAACGAAACGCCATCTTGATTGTTACGCCCATCTTCCAAGACTTCTCCACCTCAAAGCTCCAACCGTAAGGCTTGGCGATCCAGCAACGAATGTGATGTCCAACTGAGAGGATGAGTTTCGCGTTCCTCATACCCGGAGGAACTGCCCCTCGTAGGAATCCCTCCCGTCATCCCCCTACAACCGCCACCACTTGTGTAAGGGGGGTCGTACACAGCCTCACACAAAAAGTATGTTCTCCTGCCATCGAGCCATTCACTCTCAGCCAAAGCCCCATCCCACGGCCTCTCCCAATCACCAGCGTAGAAAACAACCTTCTTCATCAAGTCGCCCACCTTATTCTCCCTTAATCGATAAAACAGCTTCATGGCTTGTTTAGTATCCAGCACCGGCTGGGCCATGGACTCAATACCGCTACTGCAATCCGATTCCAAGTCCAACTTCCACTGGTCGTAGCCATACACTCCCTCCATGGAGGCTCCCAGCTGTCGCCGGCACTCGCTCGCGAACTCCAGAAAGACAGTAATATTGGTTACTTTTGGAAAGTTCGTCGCGAGCGCATCAAAAACCTCCACCGGCCAGGTCCCATTGCGATTGACGTCGAGAGTGATCGATTCCAGGTTCGGTGCCATGCGGCCGACTTCCGAGATTTCTTCTGCCGTCATCACTCTCCGCTGTCGAATCCCGCTTTCCGCCTCGCGCCATTCAAAGCTTTTGAGAGACTGCGCGTGGTGTCGCAGGACGGGCAACACGGAAGCGCCGGTCTCGTCGCTGAATATCCACGATAGATGCGTTAGCGAGTTCTCGGGCACACCCAAGATGAGATCCTTTGCCCAGGCGCCGTAGACCTTTAGTGACTGAAGCGATTTCAGGTGCGAGATCAGTTTCGCGATGTCAGGATAGTGGCCGAACCTGGGCCTCAAAGTAAGGTTCTTGATACTCCCGAAATCCATAGCGTCCAGCAACAAGTCCAGATTCGTCTTCGCTTTTTGCTCAGCAGATAACGGGAGATACCTCACCCACTTCAGCGCCCTACCGGAACCGATCCACTCCATCGTATCCCAAAACTTGGAATTCGTCCGATACGGCGGCTCTGATATCTCATCCCACATCCGATCGCCGAAATGATACCCTTCTAGGTCCAGCGACTCCAGCTTCGAGGGGTACACGGACCCACAGGCTAGGTCCAGTGGGAAGTCCCAGCGATCGGGATGTTCTGAGCATCCTATGTTTGTGACGCGGAGTTTGAGGCTTTTGAGAGAATCACAGTCGGAGAGGGTATTGTGGACGTCGCGCATGGTTGCTAGGAGGGGGTCGCCAGGCTCGCGTTTGCCATAGACAGCGTTTGGCCCGCCGGGAACTACGGTATCGATGTACGTTGGACATTTGGCGGCGGCAAGTACGAGGAGAGAGAAAATGAAAATATGACGGAGAAATGATAGCATAATGCTGGCGTGGAAATTGAGATGTTGTATATCCACTTCGCATCCAGTGAATGCAGTCTCGAAACTTTGCCAATACAAGACCTAAGAACGTTGACGTTATGACATGACTATACACTGCTATATATGCCAGTGTTTACAAAAGGCCACGATTCTATTGTGCTCGGACCGGTGTTGTTCTCGATGGATGGTAAGATCTGTCCTGAAATGTGAATCCTTCCAGGTTTTCTGCGCTATCGTGTCGTTCTAGTCAGCTAACGCCGATCGGTCGCAGGGGATTCTTGGCGCGTCAGTAGTCAACCCCATCATTTTGCAAGCATAATCTGATGCTGGGACAAATGAAGGTACATTTGCTAAAGATCGCAGTCACCTCGAAATACTGTACGTCTATCTGGCGGGAAAGATGCGCGACTAAGAAGCGACTAGGGAAGATATAACCGATTTTATGAAGAGACCTAGTGACATTATCGATCTGCACAATTGGTTCAGATTGAAGTGGGTCAATATTCTGCAGCGATTATCACAACATCAACTGTGAACCAGAACTGCTCACAGATCATGCTGCGATGTCAAGATATGAATTGCCGCTTTTATTTCAGCTTCAAATCCTGTCAAATTTTTTTGACAAGCCTCTAGATCAACCGGAGGTCACCCGGCCTTTCGTAAGCTAAGAACTCTCAGTAAATCGTATTGAAAGCTGCTTGACCTCGGTCAACTCGGTGAAAGATGCATATAGTTTGTGATCTCGCGAAAGCCCGAAACTAAGTACAGAAGTCAATCATAGCTAGAGCACCATTCAACCACAATCGAGCTGTTAAGAAAGATCTTGCGTGCTAAGCATTATGCCGAGCGGATAAAAGCCGTCCGTCGCGACCTCTCATTTAACCTTAATTGACGTCCTATCCCACACTAACCGACCGGCCGCACCTCTGTGAGGCTAGTCCGGCAGGGGAGGGGGGTAAGCAGTCTGACATCTTCGCATCTTACTTCACAACAGTGGCTAAGGAAGGATACGGGGCACACATTCACAGAATCTTCATTCTTTCCACCAAGGACGCCGTCAACCGGCGACATCACGCGCACCGATTGGAGCAAGTTCTCACACCGGGTTGCCTACGGATATCAAATCAAAATGAAGGTCCTCATCGCAACAATGCCCTTTGCAGGCCACATTCACCCAATGCAACCCATCGCCCTCGCCCTCACTCGTAGAGGCCACACCGTAGCCTGGCTCACCTCCGCCTCCCACGCCAACATGATAACACAAACCGGCGCAAGCTTCATCCCCTCTCCGCCCGCCCTCGCCGCGCACGACGAGATCCCCCTCGCGCCGGACCCGGAAACATCGGGCATGGCCGCCGTAGTCTCCACCCTTCGGAAGCTGTTTCTCGATAGAGTGCCCGACCAACTCGCAGCCTACCGCGCCATTCTCGACGGGTCCAACGGATCGCCGGCTTTTCAGGCGGATATCCTGCTCTTAGACCTCTGCGCATACGGCGCGCACTGTCTCCGGGATATCACGGGCTTGCCGTACGCGACGCTGGGGATTAACCCGCTTGTCAGCCTCGACCCGGAGGTCCCGCCGTGGGGCACGGGCTGGCTTCCTCCGGCAACCTTCTTCGGCCGATGGATCAACTCGCTCGCGCACGCGGCCGCGAGGTGGCTTCTTTACCCGAAGCTAACTGCTTTACTCAACGCACACCGGGAAGAACTGGGACTTCCCTCCCTGCCTGCGTCCGGGTTCTATGACTCCACGAGGTCGGATACGCTGCACATTATGCCCACGACACCCGCCTTTGAATTCCCGCGTAGGAACCTGCACCCAGCCGTGAAATTCGTCGGACTGCTTCTCCCGCTATTCAACGAAGACGAGCTCCCACCTCTCCCCAAATGGTGGGATGAAATGCTCACACACCCACGGGAGAAGGTAATCCACGTAACCCAAGGCACATACGCAACAAACTCGTCAAACCTCATCACCCCAACCCTCGCCGCACTCGCACACCGTGCAGACCTCCTCGTCATCGTCACCACACCCAACGCAGAAACCGCGCTTCCGGCATCCTCCCTCCCCTCAAACGCTCGCGTGGCCTCCTTCATCCCACACGCGAAGCTCCTCCCGCATGTAGGTGTTATGGTGACAAACGCAGGCTATAACGGCGTCCTCGCGGCGCTGAGCTGCGGTGTACCGATGATCTGCGCGGGTCGGAGCGAGGATAAGGCCGATGTAAGTTCTCGGGTTGCGTGGAGCGGCGCCGGGATCGATCTCGCGACCGACGCGCCAAGTGAAAATTCGTTGAGGAGTGCGATTGAGCGAGTCATCACTGATGAGAAGTTCCGGAGTGCGGCCGAGAGGGTGAGCGTGGATTTTGGCGGGCGTGATGGGCCTGGAGAGGCGGTTGATGCGTTGGAGGAGGTTGTTGAGCGTAGTCGGAGATGAAGGGGGCCGGGGTTTGAGGTTTGAGCCTGGAGTTGAGGTTCCTACGGGCCGAGATATCGGGATTCCGGATCGGCGGTCGGGCGGCCGAGGTTTGCCCGCCGAGTGATATCTCCGGCCTCCGGTGTTGCACACGTCGGAGGATGATGTATGATCTTCACCTTTGCAGTATCCACTGCCAATGCTTGGCACATAATGTAAATGCTCCATTATCCAGCGAGGTATCATTCTCTATCAACGAAAAAAAAAGGGACTAGGTATTCTACCAAAGTATGCTCCGAGATCGCAGGCCCGCCCTGCAAATGCACCAATACACCAATGCAAGCAAATCCAACAATGCCTTTTAGGTTGGTAGCTCTAAACATTTTAGCTCATTTCCTTGACTGTGGCATCGGGTGATGCTGCTTGTTCATTTGAAGCTCTTGACCTTCTGCATGCTGCCTTCCTCTGCCAGGGCCCTGTGGAGATCAAAGGAATTGAACAGAAGGTGAGGCTCATGGCCCATGCCCTTGCGCAAGCACTCAAACTCGGCCTTCTCAAAGTAGTCCAGGAGGATGGGCTGGTACACCGGGTGGGCGCACTTCTTGATGATGACGCGCGCGCGCTCACGGGGACTCAAGCCACGAACATCAGCGAGGCCTTGCTCCGTGACAATGACGTCCAAATCGTGCTCCGTCTGGTCAATATGCGTGCACATGGGAACGATACAGCTGACGCCGTGTGGGTCCGTCTTTGTAGGGCGCGTTGAGGGTGTGTGGACGATGCTGTACTTTGCGTTGCGGAGGAAGTCGGCGCTACCGCCGAGACCGTTGAGCATGCGGGATCCCATGACGCACGTGCTGTTGGCGTGTGCGTAGATATCCACCTCGACGGGCGTGTTCATGGCAATGACACCCAGGCGGCGGATGATCTCGGGCGAGTTGGAGACCTGTTGGCTGCGGAGGAGGAGCTTGTCGTGGTAGTTCTCCCAGTTGTCGTAGAAGCGCTTAAAGCCTTCGGGCGAGAAGCGGACCGAGGTGGCGGTCGCGAAGTCGAGGTGGCCCGTGTCGAAGAGGTCGAGGAAGGTATCCTGGATGACTTCGGTCCAGACCTTGAGGTTCCAGAAGTTGCTGTCCTTGAGACCGCCGACGACGGCGTTGGCGATGTTGCCGATACCGGACTGCAGGGGCAGGAGGTTCTTGGGAAGGCGGCCGTGCTTGACTTCGTGCTCAAAGTACTCGATCAAGTGTCTGGCGATGGCTCTGGATCCGTCGTCCTCGGGGGTGTTGGGGCCGGTCTGGTCGGGGTAGTCAGATTCGATGATTCCGACGACCTTCTCGGGGTCGATGGGGATAGAGTTTGTTCCAATGCGATCCTCGACACTGGTGATGAGGTATGGCTTGCGGCGCGGGGGCACGTCGGTCATGGTGATGTCGTGGAGACCGTCAAAGTTGGGCAGCGAGGTGTTGACCTCGATGATGATCTTGTCTGCCATCTGCACCAGCTCTGGCGTCGCACCAATGGAGGCGCCAGGAACGATGCTACCATCCTCCTTGATCTCTGTGGCCTCGACTACAACAACGTCGAGGTTCTTGTTTGGGCGGTCCTTGGTGTAGAAGCCGTATACGAGGTCGACGGGGAACTGCGACAGGTGCTTGTCGAAGAAATGGATTCTTCCCTCGTTAATACCCTTGGAGATGGCCTTGCCGACCTGGTGAGGGCTCCGGCGATTGATCATATCCAAGCTGGCCCAGCGGTTCTCCGTCTCGGCGCCGGAGGAGGCACCGACGAACAGGCTATACTTGAGCTGGCCTTGGAGGCTGTTTTTGACGGAAACAATCCTGATTAGCTTACGGGGGGCAATCTACTAGCACTCCTAGAAATTCTTACGAGTTCTGCTCGACGTGATCCGCCAAGTAGGTGGGCATCTTCTTGGGGTACCCGACGCCGGTGAAGCCGGACCAGCCGATGTAGGCGCCATTGGGGAAGTGCTGCAAGAGATCCTGGGGCTTGGTGAGCTTCTTCAGCATCGACGGACGCTTGACGCGAGCCCGCAGGGCGGCGGAAGCAATGGGAGACGCCATCTTTGCAAGTGGGCAGTCACGCAAATGAGAGTGAGGAGTGGAGAGGTTCACAGAGGGTCGGTACCCGGGGAAAGGAGGGGAGAGGATGGAGATCTGAGGCCTGGCCGACGACAACAAGGAGAGAAGGATACGGAGACGTGATGGCTCTGGGGAAGAAAGTGGGCGTCGGCGAGACTTTATACTGTCAGTTTTGTTTGGTTTCGGTGGAAGAAGCGCGTCCCCATTTACCTCAGGACTCAGGAGACAAGACCAAGAGTCAAGGTTCTGGAAGAACATCAGGTCACTCCTTGAGCCCCTCGGTGGGGAATGACGCACCACCAACCCTTGGAGACCAGGGAGCTCTAAGATAGCTCGAAGCTTTCTGAGAGGCAGGGAGCGCCCCTTGGATGATTATGTCATCGGATAAGAAAATATGATTGGTCAAACGATGATTTGCGGCTCGGTAACAGTCGGTAACACCCTCCTGGACACAGCCGCATGCCCGCTAGAGCGAGAAACCTTCTTGTCTCTCTTGGCTTGTAATGTGCCTGAGTGGCCTGCTGTTGGTAGCCTGTAGGGCTCGTTTTCGCGTACATCAACACGCAACCTCTCGGTCTGAGCCGAGAGTCAAGAGCCATTGACCAATCATATAACGCGAATTCCGCTGTTTTCCAAGCAATTCTGGGCTGAGGTTCAGTCAGGAGATTTTCAACTATTTTTTCCATTGTTTGTTTAGAGGTGCAATCTCTGTATTTTCTCGTAATCTCCAGTAGACATTTCAGCATTCATACCTCCAAGCTTCAAGTACCTAGATGGCTGAAAGTCCCCACTGTCAAGGCGTTCCCGAGATGCCAGCGACAAAAATAAACTGGAGTCGTTTTTCAAACTTCCGTAGATGCGAGCCCAACCTTCGGCATAGCTCGGCCGGACGAATCTCGGCTTTAAATTTACACTCCTTCCTCCCATTCGTCAAGACGGCCCCATACCTTCCCGGCCGATCTGGCTCCACTTTCCTGGCCAGGTCTGGAACGAGAAAGTGCCCTCCCACGCCTGCTCACCTCCTGCCCTTCAACACTCAAAGAGGAAGGAGACACAGCATTTGCAAGGTCTCGAAAGTTGGGAATAGCTTCATTTCATATTCTTCATCAATTTTTCTTGCTCCTCGAGCTTCAGCAAAATCTACAATGCATCCATCCTTCGCGGGACGAATCCCAAATGTTTATTCCGGAATCTTCGCCTCTTCAGCCGATACACCCGCCTTCCATCTGTATGATGCCGCAACGTGCTCGTCAAGCGGTCCTGATTGGCCCTTCTTGCGATAGAAGTTCTCTCTGTACGTACCACCGGGAACCGCGTAATCGTCCCAGAACAGTCCGCGACGACGCAGCTCAGGCAGAAGGAGATCGATGATATCCTTGAAGGACTGGGGGAAGAGGGCGTATGCCTGTCGTTGAAAGTCAGCATCGTCATCTTCCATCACCATGGTCTAAACATCAAATCCAACAGCGTCAGCACTTACAAAGTTGAATCCATCAACATCCGCCTCCTCAATCCACGTCTCGAGCCCATCAGCAACTTGCGAAGCCGTACCCACAAAGATGGGCCCGTTGCCACCAATGCTAACGTGCTCGGCAATGGTGTGCTTCGTCCACTTTGCCGTGCCAGGCGAGAATCGCGCGTACCCCTCAACGGTCGACTTGACAGCATTGCTCTCCACCTCCCGAAGCTCCTCCTCGTCGCCGTACTTGCTCAGGTCCATGCCTGTCCAGCCACCAAACAGCGCCAGCGCGCCCTCATGCGAGGCATATTTGCGATAGTCAGCCAACTTCGCCTGCGCCTCCTCTTCGGTGGCACCCAAGATTGGCGTAACGAGCGCGAGAACCTTTATGTCCTTACCATCGCGGCCGTACTGCGTCCGCGCGAGATCCCGGATCTCGGCAATGTTCTTCGCGCACACAGCGGGCGCGTGCGCCGAGACGAAGATGGCTTCGGCATGCTGCGCTGCGAATTGTTTGCCTGCCTTGGAGGTTCCGGCTTGGAGGAGGAGAGGCGTGCGTTGGGGGCTGGGTTGGACGATGTGCGGGCCGGGGACGTTGAAGAAGCGCCCGTTGTGGTCGATCTTGCGCACGAGGTCTGGTTGCGTGTAGATGCCTGTCTTGCGGTCGAGCTTGACGGCGTCGTCTCTCCATGAGGATTCGAAGAGCTTGTACATCACCTTGATGTACTCTTCGGCTTGGGCGTATCTGTCGTCGTGCTTCTCTGGTTAGCTTCGCCCGGGTTACCACGATGAGGCCTTGCGCTGTCTCACCTGGGGCTGCTGGGCTAGACCCATATTCTTTGCGGCGGAATCCAGGTAGCTCGTCACGATCTGTGCTGGTCAGTATGCACTTCCTCAACAAATTTCGTCCGGGGACTGACATTCCAACCGAGACTAGCAGACTGTTAGCACGACAACTTCGCAATCAGATCTTGGGTTTCTCACCGCCCGCCTGTGAGGTGGTCGACGGTCGACAGACGCCTCGCGAGGTGGTATGGCTGCTCGTATGTCGTCGACACCGTCACACCAAAGCCAATGCTCTTTGTTACTGCGGCCATGGCAGCTACGGGCGCCAATGGCTCGTTGACGGGCCATTGGGCACCGGAAACTTTTGCAGGGTCGAGGGATTGCGAGTAGACATCGTAGCCGCCTTCGCCGAGTTAGTTATCTTCCATGCTTGATCTCCTGGACGGCAGACTCACCAAGAACATCCGCAATGAAGATGCCGTGGAATTTGGCCTCCTCGAGAAGCTTGGCCAACTCAACCCAATGGCTGATCTCGTTGAAGCGCCACGACTCGTCTTCGGGATGTCTCCAGAGTCCGGGGGACTGATGCCCACTGCCTACACGGAAACTGTCAGCTTCAATGCAAGGTTCTCACACGGCGAGGGCTGGATGCCATACACATCTCAACGAAGGCATTGAGCACTAGGCTCTTCTTCGGCTTTGCTGTTCCCGTGGTGTCGGCCATTCTTTCTTCGGTTTCTTGCGTATGAAGTATCTTGAGTCCAAGATTCACGAGAATCGTCTGCTTGGAAAGATTCCGAAAGAGAAGAAGTTGCTGGCTTTTTGCGACAACAAAAGACAACAAACCTTTTTCAAACTATCACTACCATTCAGCGGAACCTCGGCGACCGCGACCGCGGGGTCACATGGAGGGGTTCGCGTCAA